ATATGCAGAAGAAACTGCGTTGTGATAGCACGCAGCCTTGTGGAATACCAGCGTTAATAGGCTTGTAATCAAGGCATGCACCGTCTACTACAACCTTGATGCTCCGATCAGCCAGAAAACTGGTGACCCCATTGCACAATTTCTTGGGAAGCCCATATGAAGGAAGCTTTGAAAGAAGCGCTTTGTGCCCAATTGAAGGCCTTCGCTATGTCCAAACTAACGGCCAATCCCTCCGACTTGGACTCGATCGCCTTCGCCTGTCTGTGTTTAGTAAACAAGAATATCACCAGCTGATCGACCCTGTCGGAAACCGTACTGGCGGCCACTAATCAGCTGGTGCTCCTCAAGGTACTGCGTGAGCTGGCAGTTAATAATGGACTCCATTCTTTTCGAGAACAAGGAGGTGATGGCGATAGGCCTGTAGTTGGACAGATCAGAGCGGTTACTTTTTTTAGGAATCGGGTGCACGAAAGCTGTCTACCATGAATTCGCGACAACGCCTAGGGAGTAGGAGTACCGGAAAAGATGCGTTAGAACCGGTGCCAACTCTGGAGCGCACGTCCTCAGCACGATTGGCGGGATTCCGCCAGGGCCATTACACTTGTGGATGTCCAGGGAGAGCAGTGCTTTGCGTACTGAGCACTGTGTGAATCGCACATCAGGCATAGAGCACTTACACTGCGGGATGGTCGGCGGTATGTTCCCCCGTCATCGAGAGTCGAGTTGGACGCAAAAACGAGGCCTAAAATTCGGCTTTCTTTTTTGCGACGTGTGTCAGTGAGTTGTACTCCCTGTGCAGAGATGGTAGTGATGGCTTAAAGAAATTCCCTTGAACAGCCTTGGCGAGAGACCAGAATGCACGGGTTCCCGATTTTCCTTCAAGACTGCCGAGGCGTCGAAAACAGATATCCTCTTTGACAGGTACGAAGTATCAGCCGGTGAGGACACCTACGTCTCGGTCAAAAAGAGTAAGGCCTGCTTCGCCGTTTCTAGATGGTAGTGGATGGCGTTAAGGTTCGAGTGAAGTTCCCTGATGTTGCAGAAGTCCGCGGATAGCGTGGCGGGGTTCGCATGGTTTTAACTCTCTGTTTGCCTCATGCAGTGTTAGTATAGAGCGGGATTTTAGTAGTGTTTCGAAAATTGGCCTGTTTTCCTTTGAAAGTTTTTGCTTAAATATATATAAACAAGATGTTTTGACTTAAATAAATTATGTTGTCATTCACTGGTATTTTCATATAATTTCTATGGTTAAATTTCGTTCAACAGTTCATGAAAATAATAAAATTAAAAGTTTCATTCGTGTTTTTAAAAATCTACTGATGTGCATAGGTCATCAGAGGCTCCTTAGTTTACCCTACATTGTATGCAGATGAGGTTGTCATTTGGAGATGAAGAAAACTTTGTCAAATCCTAGAGGGGCACAATGGTACCGTAATGAAATTATCAAAAAATTCAGACACGATGTAATTAATGACTATAAAAATGTTATTTTTATGTTAAATACATCATGTTTTTTTTTACTTCAATTTGCTTATTTTTTAGCAAACTTTTTAAATGTGGTAATAACGTCGTCATCGTCAAGGATATGTTTGAACGTTTAGCGATATGGTTACACGCAGGTTGTCCTTGCCGCACGTTACCATGTATGTTTCCAACATAAATTTTTTGAAGTGAATACTTCTTTGGAATCGTTGGAAACTCGATGAGACATTAAAGCTACATTAAAAAGAGACAAACCTACCCATCAATACTACGTGGTAGAGCCATGCTGCAGCTATATTAGTAGTATAGTTGTAGCACGAATGGGTCGGTTCGACCGGGGAACGACCACGCTCTCACAGAATAACAGCCTAAAATAGCAGCTTAACTTTGCTGCGTTTCGTATGGTGAGTGTAGAGAACCGGAGACCCTTTTTTTCTGGAAACGAGGCATCTTAGTCCTCACGGGTAAAGACGCATCTGTATTTTGATTCGTAATTCGTCTACTTCATTCTGTAGATAAAGTCATTTTATCGAAGAAAAATTGATTGACTCTCAAGGTGGTACGTAAGAAGGAGGCCAGAATGCCTGAAGTTATGAAATCGTGAATTGTTATAAATGGATTGGTATACTAAAATAAATTTATTCAATATGGTTTATTTTATTTATTTAGTAAATTTTTATGTTTTTTATCTTAACAGTTAAAATTTATATTAATCATATTTAAAGCACCGTACAAAGAGGAGACCGAGATGAAGAGAAACAATATATCACGGTACTCGAATGGCGGATTTGAACCCACAACATTTTCAGTTCGCAAGCTACAGTGTACTCTAACTCATACTCTCGCAGGCTAACTCATTTTTTTTAGTATCGAGTGACAAACGAGTACACAGTCCACCTGATGGTAAATGGGTGCTGTGGCTCATAGACATCTACATCTATCCTCTACGATGAATCAAAATCTCATACAAACACAAGAGCGTTTTGCTGTTATTATACGCTGGTGTCTATTCTGTGAAATGTTTAAGTAAGTTATTAATTATTTTAATTGGGGTAAGTAGGTATTATTGTTATCCTAAACGCATAAGAAACTGGTTTAGTTTTTAACGCTTGTGTAAAAAACACCCAATAAAGAAACAAAACGTTGCAAATGAACGATTAAATATATTTTATAATTACATAAAATTTATTGATACATAGCTAATATCCATGCGTTATCAAACGCATAGCGCATCTGCTGACGTTATCAATGTTTAATATGTTTCAAACATGCATTCCCTTTACAAGCTGATGTATCATCACGTTCTATACTAACCACGCCGGCCGGCAGCGGGGAGAGGGGTGGAAAGCTTTACTCACACACGCAAACTGCACAGACATAGTACTTATAAAGGTGAGTTGTGGGTATGTAGTTGGTGTGGAAGCTAGGCCGTAGCCGATGCGCGATTCGATAGCGACACCAATTAATATGCAATGTCGTAGCACTCGTAAACCAGTCACGAACATATGCCAATATGTTGGTGCCGTTAGGCGTAGGCTATTTGTATAATTCGGTTGGATTACTTCACAAACTGAATACATACAATTATTATATACGAATAAAATAAGAAATCGATTATCTAATCGATTTCTTATTTGTATTTGATTGCGATTTTGTAAAACGATCGTATATTTTCACGACATATATTCGTTCTGTGCAATATAATCATATAATTATATTGATTATATTGCACAGAACGAATGTCAAACTTAGTAGGTATACTTGAAAGTGAGACACATCATCAATTATTGTGATCGTAAGCGACGTATGTAAGTAGGTACGTCGCTTACACCCACTAGTATTAGTGAACTGGCATTTTACTCAAAAGTAAGAAAATTATAACATTTTGTCTCATCATAGGTATAAAACTTTTTTAACTGGTACGTTAACAGGACGTTAACTGTTATATAAGGACGGATAAAGCCATTTACGACTTACTTCATAAAATTCTTCGGTTTTTCTTCTGGGATTACTTGTGTTCGGTTTGGTACATGAGTACCGAACCGAACCGAACACCCTAAATTTATAGCCTATATATACGTCCCACAGCTGGGCACAGGCATCCTCTCATTTCTGAGAGGGTTTTAGGACTAGAAAGCATCTGATTCGCTACCTGCGTCTTAGCAGATTTCACATGTCCTCCAAATATTTGATTTTTTTATAGAATTAGGGTGACAAACGAGCATACAGTCCACCTGATGGTAAATGGTTGCTGTGGCCCATAGACATCTATATCTATCCTCGATTACGTATCAAAATGCATATGGGTTGTCACCCCTGAGGACTAAGATGGAATGCCTCGTTTCCAGTAAAAAGGGTCTCCGGTTCTCTACAATCACCATATGAAACACAGCAGCATTAAACTGCTACTTTACGCTGGTATTCTGTGAGAGCGTGGTCCTTTCCCTGGTCGAGCCGACATATTCGTGCTAAAACTATATCATTAATATACCTACAGCATGGCTCTACCACGTATATGTAGGCATTGCTCTACTACGTTTTGTAGGAGGTTTCCTCACAATGTTTTCATTCACCGCCGAACACGTAATCAGCACTTAAAATTGCAATTAGCAATTTTATTAGTGCCGGCGGGAATCGGGTTTGTACGTACTGTTAAATTAAAGGCAAGGGCTTAGTCCCTGAGCTAACACGGTCATTTTCATAAAATTTGATCATATTTTGTACTCTTAGACATAGAGACTTTTAACTACTTTGTATTATACATTGCCGTTCAGCGGTCATAGTAACTGAAAGTGTTGTGAACGTGTGAATTTGTCCTCAAATATATCCCCGAACGGCACGGCAGAGTCGGGAAGGGTCGCCCTTGGCGAAAGTTTATCGACCAAATTGGCGATATATTGAAAATGGGCCAAATCAAGAGTACCTTTAACCGACAAGCGTGTATGCGTAGGTATATGGATGTGGAGGAAGCGAGAGAGGTGTTTCAGGATCGTGCCAAATGGAAGTCCATAGTCTCTGCCTACCCCTCTGGGTGACAGACGTTAGTATTTATGTATGTATATCCCCGAACTCATCACATACATATACGGGTAACACGAATAGTGCGTACTCCTTCCTGTCTTCGCTTGTCGGTCCTACGAGATACGAGTGTATTGAAGAATTAAAGTCTATTAAGAGCAAATTATTTTATTACTTATAGGTCTTGAAGACGGTTTTAATTTTTTTTAAAGTACTTACATTTTTGCCCATTTGAGTAAACTAAAGAATATCACAACTTCAATGTAAAACTAGTATGTCATTTAAATAGTTACATTAAAAATTTCATCCCTTAAATTTCCACCCTTAGTTGTGAATTTTTTCTTCAAATTTTTAGGACCAATCCCGAAGTTATAACCCAATACAACATTCATAAAATACATGTGAATGAGAACTTCCTCCTTTTTTGAAGTCGGCAAAAATATTTAAATGTTTGTTTTAATATTTACATAGAGATACATTAGTAACATTGTTAATCACAGATAATGAGAGTCCGCGGTGCGAACACTATGGTAATGCGGCAGTATCATACATCGGCGAGCCGTCGCCGGCGCCCTCTATCGGTGACATCGCAGACCGCGGCGCCAGACAACGCGCCCGCGCCCGCGCCCGCAACATCGCCCGCCCGTAATATTCGCCTGCTTGACACTCTATCGGCCTTTTTGTACTGTGTGAGTACTCTATTGTTCGTACTACACTAAAGATATCTGCAAAAAGCCTGAAGTAGCACAAATTATAAGTATATCCCGTTAAATAACAATAAGATTCCAAATAATCTTTATACTAATAATTATTCATAATGTCCTAAAATGCACGTATTAGAATTATATTATGAACTCCTATAATTCTATTTAATTTATAATTGGTTTATTATACTTATTTGATAACATTAATTAACTTTAAAACGTTAAAATATACTTATCAAATTAACATTTCTTGTGTTTATATTATGTAATTTTATTCAATTAATTTTTACTGTTAGATATTTTAATAAACAAAATATTACATATCGAATATTATTTTATCATACAAATAAATTTATTTAAACTTTTTCCATTTTTTTATATTTTTTATTTAAATATAATGGAAGCTCATTTCTAAGTTGAGTCCCTACTCCATAGGTTTCCATTGAGTTGTTGACAATAAGGGTTCGATTAAAAACTGAGATTTATTTTGTTGAAAAAGATTGTTGTCGTTTCATTAGCTTGTGAAGTATGACAGAATGTTGGCAGATTTACCGTTAATAAATATTAATTACATATAAAACCCACATGTTAGTATGGTTAATTTGTTAATTACACATGTAGGTAATTAATACCTCCTCTTAACCGTTTACGAAATTTCAAATACGTAGGCGGCAGAAGGTGTAATAATATTTAATAGAACATGATACCATTTTTTATCTGGTCTGCAAGTAAATAACCAACAGACTTGTATCTTTTGATGATATGGTGATTTGATGATGATGATAAATATTTGGGCGACTTTTCACAACACACAAATGTCGGTACGATATATAATGGGCATATTTCTTTTTAACGCCGCTTGCATACAAAAATATCTGTAATTACTGCTGATTATTCCAATAAAATTACTTAATAAAAATATTTCATTATTTTTAGATGTTGTGTTATTATAAAGTACCTAAGCAGTAGTAGTTTACCACGTGCTTGATGTTGAAGCAAAACATCGTGACGATACCGAAAAGTCAGAAAAGAAAACGAGAAGTCCGAAAAGTAAAAAAAAATAATTCCGACACGTGAATTTCGCTAACGCACAATGGGGCAGCGCAGCGGATATTTCTTTTCCCGAAAACCCTTTTAGAGACCAGGAACAATTATTCGTCATACGTATATTTTACGTATACTTTATAGGTCATACAAATTCTTTAAGTTACAATTGTTCAACGCCATTGCACAGGTTTTATCAGGGAATTTTTTCTTCGCCATCGAACACGCTGTAAATTTATACTTAACGATCTTAACACCCATGAACCAATACACTGAATACAAAAATCGGAAATTGCGGGGGATGTGGTAACCTACACATCGATTAACTCTGTAATTGATCTGGATGATGTCGTGAAATTAACCAGTAGGATTTTATTCTTTATTTTTCTTTTGTTGGCTCCGTGTCGTAGTGGCGCAGTAAGAGTAGCGGCGGTGAGAGCCGCGGGAACGAATCCCGCACGGAACAAGTATTCGTATGGCCTGCGAATAATTGTTCCAAGGCTGGATGTTTCTTCTTGTGAAATTTATGTACTTAAACTGCCACCACTAAATTAAAAAAAAATATCCAGTAGAATTTTATAATACTAAAGAACTCCAATACCAGAACTTAAAAGTACTTCTGGTAAAGTTAAATATATTTCTTCTTAAAATATTTTACTGAAAGATTGGTCTGCCAATCTTGGGTCTTCTATAACCTGACTCCGCCAAAGTTACGCAAAGTTATGCTCAAGCGCAGGTTCTGTCAGATTGTAGAAATGGGTAAAGGGTATTTATTCCATGTGTTCCTCTGATACCCAATCATTTCCTGTTCCAGTTTAAGAGCATTCGATTTCCGACGAGTCTTTGTTTCGCGATGATCATAATTAAATCGCCGGGACATCCACTGGAAACAGCTGGTAGTCCATAGGTCTATGAACAAGTTGCTTTTCCCATGCTCCCATTTAAAAATAATTTCACATCTAATGCGAAGACGGCAACACTGTCAATATGGTGTATATAGAATAACTTTAACTACATGAATAGTGCCCTTCAACAAATTCGTTATCATTCACCTTGAACCAGAATTAAGACTGTTCTAGAAGAAGTGGACTAAAGGAAGAAAAATTAAATCACATTATGTTTTTACACACACAGGGCACAGTCAGTTTAACATATTATTGAAAAATGCTACGCTACGTTCGCTGTTGGAGATTGATCACCTACCGCAAAGTGCCAGTAAAAATAAACAGGTATATAGGCTCGAGTAGCTGATGTTGGAGCTCGCAACGCAAAGCATAATAATTAGTCATTAGAAAGTAGGCATCGAGGGAGAGGGAGACGGTGGGGTGGGTAAGGGGGCGGGGCCCGTCTGTTTCAGCTTATCTGAAATTACATCTTTTATGGGTATCCGCGATTATTCCGCGCTGCAGCGACTTGCGGCGCGTTAGTGCCGCCTGGAAAACAAGTCGACATTACCATCGGTGTTCTACATAATCCCTACTATTGCTTTTTATGAGATTGCCTCCCCTTTCGCTCCTCACTTGTCTCTTTTGCTATTCATTATTAGCTTTAGTTTTTATACACATCACATTATTTGCTTTTAATATCCCTTAATTCTTATTTATTTTTACTTTTTAAAATTTTGAAAACGCAATGACGAAAGAAAAACATCGTAAATATACCAAAATAATAAACACAAGTAAACGAACCTTGAAGAAGTGATTTAAATCTAATACCTTTGTTTGTTACACAAAAGCACAGGCTACAACAAGCGACGAATAATTTAGTGGAGTTCACTTGAATTCATAATCAAGTAATTTATGTGCACGGGGAATAAATTAGCCGCTTCAGCCCGCGCGCCACCTATAACTTACCCCAATAAATTGCCCAAAGCGGCCAAGTTCATTTTAACTCTAAATACTAATAAGTATTTGTACTAACGACGTATATCTTTAAACGTTTTTATTTTCATTCTTATGAAAATAATGTGTATAATATAAACACCATGTAAGTTTCCACCCTGATACGGCAGTTTTATGATGGTATAACGCGATTATTAGCTGATAAATTTTGTATCAGTTCCAAATAAGCACAAGTGCAATTATAAACTGATCGAATTTTGTGTTACGAGTATTAGATACGGTGTCGTCGTTTTATAGGAAATTTTATTAATTTAAGTTGTATGAGTTTTATCAAAGCATAAAAACATTTTTTTTCTATAAAATGAATCGTATCGTGTGTGTGTACTTACAGTACCTAAGGTTTACATTTGCGTGGTTTATTAAAGGTATTTATTACGTTATGTGTTGGAGTGCTATCCTCACGTATCAGGTAGCACCTGCTTTGCATAAGGCGTCACGTCGAGAACCCCACGTTTAAAGTGTAAATTTTGCGATTAAAGTATAAAATTGTGCATAAATACGTAAAACAAAGTGGCGTAGCGATAAGAATAATAAGTGAACTATATAATGCTTACATGACATAGGAAGGTCGACTCAAGGTGTCCTCGTTTCCGATGATTATAGAATTGATATTAAACGCACACGACACTAAAAATCGGTGTAATGCATGTTATGAAACATAAGTCTTCTGTTTACGATGCCTCTTGCTATGAACTAAAATATTTTATTAACTTCTCTTTTTACCCCCTAATACAAAACTCTTAAGCCAAAAAATTTAAATCTTTCGTCTGTATCTGGATTTTGGTAACTGTTTATAGCTAAACAAAATTCAACGTCTACGTGAAACGCTACCTCCGGTATGACACGGACGGATATCGAAGATTTTATAATTACGTACCTACAAGTTTTGCTGTTTGGCACGGGACACTGAAATTATGGTATTACAGATCACCATCCAAAAAAGGACACTATTGAAACAATATAATATTACATTGTATAAAATAGAAACTTATTGAGCAATGGAGCAAGTTCATAAATAAAGTCAGTAAAAATTTACATATTTCTTTAAATACTAATAATGCTATTAATCATTACTAATATTCCCTTTAACCACTTCTGGTAAGCTTAAAATGCTTGTGTTAGAAGTGGTTCACGACAGTAGACGAATGGCGGATTCGAACCCAAGGACTTTCGAGTTTGCGGTTCGCGCCCTACCATATCATAATGTTATGAATAACACATTATAAAATTGGTTTTAATTGAATTACATACTACAGTAACGACGAAGTTATGAGTCTAAATTATTTTATTTTATAGGATACTAGCAATCCGCCCCGGCTTCGCACGGGTGATTTCTGGATCTTTCTCGTCCAATTTAAATGTGTTTGAGCCATCCAGGGACCCACTAAAACATATACAAACAAATTCATCAAAATTGGTCCAGCCGTTTTCGAGTTTTTGAGAGACTAACGGAGCGCAATTGAATTTTATCCACCTGATGGTAAGTGGATGTTGTGGACCCATAGACATCTACATTTATCGTCGATTAAGAATCAAAATGTAGATGTTGTTATCCCTGATGACTAAGATAGAATGACCTATATCCTGTAAATGGGTCTCGAGAGAATGGAAACGAGTAGATGTCTATGGGCCACAGCAACCACTTACCATCAGGTGGACTGTGTGCTCGTTTGTCACCCTATCCTATAAAAAAAGGTACACAACATATAGTCTCAGGAAAAAGAGGTAAAATACACCCACTGTCTCCAATGTCTATTAATTATGACGATAAAATCGAAATAACTATTCCCAGATATAGAGGTTTGTTTTATCCCACTAACAGAGGTAATCAGTGATAAAATGTCGGAACCTAAGCATGAGTTCCAGCTATGGAGGTTTCTCATTTATGCAAGTCCCACTTAACCAAGTTTTACTATATATATAAAAATATAATTAGTCCTTTTATAACTTTCCGCAAATTAATATTTGTCAAAATTACAAATAAATGTTCGTAAAATTATTGTAATCATGTTGATGAGATATTTTTGAATAGAGTAAAACACAAAATTAATTACCTTAATACAGCAGCGAAGGTTAAAATTTATCTTACCGAAATTTTCCATTGGTACAAATAAATGAGTTAAAATAACTAATGGTTTGTGATATGAAACCTATTTGGTTTATATTTTTTGTCGCAGCAAATGACATTGTAAAATTGTCTGATAATATTGCCAATTGAATAGAGACGTTTGTTTTATTATTAGTCTAGGAAAATTTAGTTTAGATATTTCCCACTACGAGCGTACATTTCATTCAATTGTTAATTACAGCCCTTCACAAGTCCACCGCTGAACAAGGAATGTCACAAAACACTGTCTTGAACCACCTGCATCGATCGACATCTTGCATCTCTTACCAGGTCGTCACTCCATCCCATCAGTTGTCGGTTCTTTGAGCCGGCCCATTACCTCTTCATTTGTTGGTCCGTTGGACTATTTCGGTAACTGTGGTTCTGCTGCAGATATCCACATTTCTAATTCTATCACGCAGAGAAACTTTGAGCATAGCCTTCTATATTGCTCGAGCTTGAGCTTTTACGACTTAGAGCTACAAAGAAGCCTACGGGCATAAATATATTTTTTTTAATTTTGCCGACATTCAAATTGGTTGTTTACGTACATTTTATATCATACTAGCGATCCGCCCCGGCTTCGCATGGCTGATTTCTGGATATCGACAACAATGCCACCTACCGGGTGAATGTAAACCATTCTCTAATCAATTTAATCACACACAAAATTTCATCAAAATCTGTCCAGCCGTTTAGGAGGAGTTCAGTAACATACACACGGACAGAGGAATTATATAATATATAATATGCATGTATTATACATATAAACATTTCTCTTAGATCAATCTGTCTATTGATGAAAATCGCGTCAAAATCCGTTGTATAGTTTAAAAGATATACGCGCACAGCCGGCGGGAAGTGACCTTGTTTTATATTATGATTATATTTTTTAACTGCATGAGTTTGTTCAGTCAAACAATTGTTTGATTTCAGTTTTATTTACACAATTAACAAATATTGTAAAGGGACAAATTCAACCCTAGTATAACGGTGTCCAAATTGTCCAATAGAGGCGACAATAAAATTAACATACGGCGAAGTTTAGGTGTCACGCCGCAGGAAGTATGTTGTAATTTGTAACCTTTGTGATTAATAAAGTGTACTAAGTGTGACCCGAATAGGACAGATTAGCGAGCACTTTATCACTTCTATACCGAGTTAACGTCGCGTGACGGATCTCGTTTGAAACTCATAAAGAGTCCAAAGCAAAATATACTCGTAGATAACGCTTAGTTTACGTCTCGGGGCCTTTTCCACTTGCCAAGTTTAGACCGAGTCACGCGGGAGGGTCAACTTTAACAAGTTTATTTAAGTTAAGCATTATTTATAATTGGGTTTCTACTTTATAATTAGATTTAGTATCCATCTTCAAACAATGTGACTTTAATACTGTACATTATGATTTCACGAACATACTTTTTAGGGATCCGTACCCAAAGTGTAAAACGTAGCCATAATGTTACTACTCTATCGTTCGGTCTGTCTGTCTGTCTGTCCGTCCGTGTGTCATAAACTTATAAATTTCTAGCTCGTAGACGGAATGAGATACAAACAGAAATTTGTAAATACGATGTAGAATGTAGATTCAAATTGAATATTGAATTAGTAACTCAATTAAATTATTTTTCAGGGTCCCTCTTCCTAATTCAAAAGGAGATGAACTTTTTTCTTAGCTTGTGGGGTTAAATCTCATTAAATATATTACAAACACAATTTTATACTTTATATTCAAAATTAAAGTAATTGGAATATGAAATTTCTGTGTCACAACAAAGAAATATTTTTTATCATGGCGTACCAATTAACTCTAAGAAAGAAAAATACATTTACTGATTAAATATCTTGTTGAATAATATTATTTGGTCATAATATATGTAGTATGGAACCTTAGTGGAATTAATCCCGACTCGCACTTGGCCGGGTTTTATTTGCTTGTTATTTATATAAACGATACAAGTCAATATTTTTTCTAACAAAAGGCTTTAAAAACAAATTTCATACCTTATTGTATGTTTTTACATTACGTATAATTTAGATAAAACAATTGATTAAAAATAATTTAATAAGAATACAAAAATAACGAAAATAATACATAAGCAGTATATAGTGCGCTATCTTCTTTTCATTATTTATTATTTCATACGAGTATGTATATATTATTTTTATTTTTATTTATTGCAGCGGGATTGTGAAGTCATCATTTGGTCGTAACTAGGTTAAGAAATACATAATTTATTTTTTCAGTGTTTCTACAGCTACTACTAAGTACTACAAGTTATTATAAGATTATAAATAAACCTAGAATAAGTTAAAATATGTAATCTATATATATATATATATATATATATATATATATATATATATAAATCAATTGCCGTCCGTTAGTCTCGCAAAAACTCGAAAACCGTAGGTCCAATTTTGATGAATTTTATTGTATGTATTTAAGTGGGTCCCTGAATGGTTTACACTCACAATTGAATCCGGTAGGTGGCGCTGTAGAGATCTAGAAATCACCCGTGTGAAGCCGGGGCGGATTACTGGTATAATATATATTTTAAATAATGCATAAACTTTATAAATAAATAGATTAACTTCTCTTCCTTGGATTGAGGTAAAAAAGTATCGCACTTTGGATGTTGCTTTCTGTCGCCGGCCTGGGTATTTTACACCTGTTGTAAGCAGGATGGTCCTTCTAGATGTATCATTTTGGCATATCGTATAGTCGCCTTTTATTAATAATACAAAATGGGGTGAAGGAGACTCAAGCAATTCAAGGACATGTGAAGTCCGCTCATATCCTTTAGGGCAGCGTAGCAAATCATTGGGACGGGAGGAATGTGTCTACTCGTAGATAATTACTTCGCTTTTAACTAACCAATATTCAAATTAGGTGTAAACGATAATACGCATTCCATGAGAGGACTAACTAGGCCTAACTAGACTAACTGAGGCCTATGTCCAGCAGTAACCTTTTACGGGATGATTAAAAGAAATTTTTAATTTAAAAAAGACGTAGATACTGTTTAACGTAGGCTTATATCTAATTCAAAGAGCAAAGAATAAAGTTCACAAATTAAAATCAAACTTATTTTAAAAAAAAAAAATGTTTTCATCGATGTTGCGCGATACACTGAATGTGATATCACCTGTATCAAAAGAATTGTTTAGAAATTAATCTTTGAATCAAACGAAAAAAAAAACAACTAAGAAAAGAAAACTTTAATTCTACTGTTTACAAATTGTGCACGTTATATTTCTACAGGGCATTACGACAATTCTGTCGCGTGATTTAGACTAAGCTTTATCTGCGTCGATAACTCATTCTTCTACCATTAGCCCCTGCTGCGCATTATAGAAGCTTGCACAGGATTATAGACTCTTTGAATTAGCATAACATTTTTCGTCATTTGCTTATCGCGCACACGACAAGAGTCGCGTTTTATGTAAGAATATATTTGACAAATATTAGTGGAAGCGTCGGTGCGAAGTATTCAGGAATGTCAGCGCGAAAGCCGGGTGTAAGCCGAATGCGACGGCGTGGGGCTATGAGCATTTGAATAATCGCTCTGTGCTCAAAGCCCGGGGTATTATATGATAATAATTTCACGCGCGAGCGCCTCGCGCCGGGTGCCAGCCCCCCACTCCTCGACGCGCTGCATCGCCCCTGAGGTATGTGTGAAAAAGCTAAACCGAACCATAGATAATAAATTAATATTATTCATCGTCCATTCG